CTCTTTGTACGAACAAAAGTAAGAGAAATTTAGGATAAGAATACGAACATGTTCTTGCACGAGGCCCAATGTCCCAACTGGGTCAGAGTTCTGTCTTTTTAAAGGGCTTGTCTGAGGCCTGAGGTCAAAGACAGTTTTGCTGTTTATCATCACTTCAGGTGACCTCTACAAATGAAACTCACCAGTATATTTTAGTTTAAAAAGTGCATACTTTGTGTGATTGGTAAATCAAGTAAACTGAACTAAATTGGAATCAGTTGATTGAAATGCCCAGAATTTACTTCAACTTACCTTTTATAAAATTACTGTATGGTAACTTTCTTTTCATTACTAGTTTTGAATTGGAGCTGTGTAAAATTTGTGAATGGATCTAAATTGAAATGAAAAGGAAACAATAGAAAAACTAAATACATGAAATAACTTCAGTTAGCTTGAATTAAATGTGAAGTACCCCTAAATGACTTTTGTTGTCAAATACTGGACTAAATTAAATTGGAATGATTCCAATTGAAGTAATTTCAATTGAAATATTCTGTACTAATTTCACTGTGAGAGGCACCGAAAGGGTTTTTGATACAAGTTATTTGTTCAATTGATTTTGAACCAATTAAATTGAATTTTTCTACATTGCTTATTGTAAAGTGTAAGGAAATGAAATTGTAACTTGTGACTGCAATCTGTTAGAAGAAAACAATTGGAGTGAATTGGATCAATCTGAAGTAAAATCACTAAACMTTTTAGAAAACTTTCAATGTGAATTTTTTGTGAGTTAGTGATAAACTTATCAGTAAAACTGAATTGGAGTAGTGCAGTCTAGAGTCCTTAGCAGTAATTTGAATTGGACCTTTTAGTCTGGATTACTCTCAATGTCAACTGTTCTTAAAATGACTTTAATAAAAGTTAGCTACATTTAACTTTATGTAAATGAATTGGAATAAATTGGAGTGACATTACTTAATTTTCAATTATTAAAACAGTATAGTTTTGTTTTTCTTTGAATGTGAAATGGTGATGTGTAAACTGAATTGGACTGAATTGGACTGTTGCTTCTAGATAAACCCGGCAGAGGACGGGACCAGGAGCCCTCTGTCGGACTCACTGGGCATCTTCAACGCCATCAGTGGCACCCCGAGCGGCCCCTCACACGGCCCCACCATCCTCTGAGAGGGACGCCGTCGACCCGTTCAGTCAACCCGCGAATGARCTGGGATCCATTCACAGACCTCAACTAAACCCAATTCAGTCATTTTTGGATCGATTCTCCTCTGTGTGTCCGTGTCACCAGCCAGACTTTCTTTGTGTTTCCTATGGAGACTTCAGTTTCTTCAGTCATTATAAGTTACAGCCGTTTCATTTTTCTGATAAATTATATGGATTTTTTTAAAGAAGTTATTACTATTTTAGGCCAATTGACCTGTATAGAAACTGTGTAAAGCCATCTTAACCAGACTTTTTGACTTATTTTATAAAATAAAGTGTGCAATATTTTCTGCAAATACCAAGGATACCTACGAGACAAAAAAAAGACTTTTGCCAAAGACGTTAGAAAACATTTGTGCAATAAGTTTACACTCGACTGTGTTCTTTTATTGCCTCATATGTAGAATCCTTTTATTATCTGTGAGGGAAAATAAAATGTTTTCACTTAGTGAGTTCTCATGTAAATATGTTAAAGACAAATAAATAAAATCTGAAAACAAAAAATACAATCTTTCTCTTCCTGTTGTGTTTCTTGTATTTTTGTAAACTCACACTGACGGRACTGATGAGCTAACGGCTAATCTCCACCTCAGCAGCACTTCCAGGCAGGTATTGCACAGTAGTGACAGCTTAACTGCACCAAGCAGTCTGAAATGAGCAGAGGTTTCACACAAACTGGCCCACCACAGTTACACACACACACTTATAAACAGTGCCGCAACAAATTTAAAAGATTGAGTGTCAAAGAAAACATGTTATTAATAGAAAATAATTACAATAAACATTTAGAGGAGAGAGACTAAAGACAACAGCAGAGCGAGGAAATGTGCTCAGTTG